TCAGAAAAACCAGCATGTATATTAGGGAAGAGGTAACAGGAAGTATTGATGAGGGCAATGCTCTTGATGTGAACTTTCAAAAGACATCTGATACAGTCCCACACAATAGGCTGGTGAGGAAAATCTCTGAATAAAAGGAGCAGTAGCAACACGGATATGAAATTGGTGATGAATAGGAAACTGTGAGTAATGGTTAATGGGTATGTTTCAGGCTGCAGAAAGGTTTGTGGTGGAGTTCCTCTGGAGCGGATACTGGCACCCTTGCTTTTCCTGATTTATTTTAATGATCCGGACCTTAGTGTGCTCAGAACAATTTTAACATTTGCAAAACAATGCAAAACTTACAATAATTGTAAACTGTGAGGACAGAGTAGAACTTATAAAGGACATCAGTAAAGTTGGAGTGGGTGAATATGAGGTAGAATGCAGTAATGTGTGAGGTGATACCTTTTGGGACAAAGAACATGGAAAGACACTACAATTTAAAGGGTATTTACCCTAAAGGGTATGCAGGAGCAGAGGGACTGGGCTGTATTCATGCACAAGTCATTAAATGTGTCAAGATGCGTACAAAGAACAATACAGCACAGGAACAGGCCCTTCGGCCCTCCAAGCCTGCTCCAACACATTTTAACCTTCCATGCTAAAACTGTCTTCAATTACAGGACCCATATCCCTCTATTCCCTTCCTGTTCATGTTTCCATCCAGGTGTTTCTTGAATGCTGCTGCTGTGTCTGCTTCCACCACCTCCTCTGGCATCGTGTTCCAGGCACTTATCACCCATTGTGTGAAAAACCTGCCTCGCACATCTCTTTTAAACTTACTCGCCCACTCTCCCCCCTGCACCTTGAACCTGTGTTCCATAGCAATTGACCCCTCCACCCTGGGAAAAAGCCTCACACTTTCCACTCTATCCATGCAATTCACAATCTTATAAACTTCTATCAGGTTGCCCGTCAACCTCTTGCATTCCACTGAAAACAAACCCAGTGTACCCAACCTTTCTTCATAGCTAAAATCCCCCATACCTCACAACATCCTGGTAAACCTTTTCTGTACCCTCTCCAAAGCATCCACATCCTTCTGGTAGTGTGGTGATCAAAACTGTACACAATATGCCAAGTCTGGCCTAACTAAAGTTCTATAAAGCTGCAGCATAACTTGTCTATCCTTATACTCAATGTACCTTCCAATGAAGGCAAGCATGCCATAGGCCTTTTTTACCTTATCTACCTGCGCTGCCACCTTCAGTGATCTGTGGGACCCGCACAGCCAGATCCCTCTGTATTTCAATACTCCTGAGGGTTCTGCAATTCACTTTATAATTACCACCTGTTCTTGACCTTCCAAAATGCATCACCTCACATTTGTCTGGATTAAACTCCATTTGCCATTTTTCTGCCTTTGCCTTCAATTGATCTATATCCATTTGTATCCTCTGACAATCCTCCTCACTGTCCACAAGACCACCTTGTATTGTCTGCAAACTTACTAATTAGACCAGCTACATTTTCCTCCGAATCATTTCTGTAGACCATGGACAGCTGATGTCCCAGCACTGATCCCTGTGGAACACCGTTAGTCACAACCCTCCATTCCAAAAAGCATCCTTCCACCACTACCGTCTGTCTCCTATGACTAAGTCAGTTCTGTATGCATCTTGCCAGCTCACCCCAATACCATGTGGCTTCACCTTTTGTATCAGTCTGCTATAAGGGACCTTGTCAAAGGCTTTGCTGAAGTCCACGTTGACAACATCAACTGTTTTTCTCTCATCAATCATCTTCATCACCTCCTCAAAAAACATTAGTAAGGCACAATCTCCCCCACATAAAACCATGCTGTCTACCACTAATAAGTCTATTTGCTTCGAAATGCGTATAGATCTTGTCGCCGATAATCTTTTCCAATAATTTCCCTACCACCGACGTGAGGCTCACAGGCCTGTAATTTCCAGGATTATCCCTATTACCTTTCTTAAACAATGGGACAATATTAGCTATTCTCCAGTCCTCTGGGACTTCACCTGCAGCCAAAGAGGATACAAAGATGTCTGACAATGCTCCAGCAATTTGTACTTATGCCTCTCTCAAAATCCTGGGATAGATCCCATCAGGACCCAGAGGCTTATCTACCTTAATACTTTTTAAGATGCACAACAACGCTTCCTTTAGCAACTTGGCTTAGAAATTCGACACTCCCTTCCCTGAGATCATCCTCCACCAATCCCTTCTTGTTGGTAAATACCAACACAAAGAGTAGTGAGAGCTGGTGATCTCATTGAAATGTATAGGATTCTTAGGCTTGACAGGGTAAGTTTTGGGAGGACATTTTCTCTCATGAAAGAGTCTTAGACCAGAGGGCATAGTCTCAGAATAAAGCGGTATCAATTTAAGATTGAGATGAGGAGGAATGTCTTGTCAAAGATGGTTGAGAGCCTTTAGAACTCCTTGCCACAGTCAGCTGTTGTGGGGGGGGGGGGGGGGGG